GGAGGGACTTCAAGCATTATAACCTCCTATCAATCCTGCAAATCTCTCACGTTGGGCGAACGGTGGACAGCCTACACTCAGCAGGCAGTATAACTAATAGTGCAAGGGTTCGTGCAATGCCGGTGCTCCTAATACGTCGCCAAGTCCTTGATCTTCAAAATACTTGGTAGGTGATGATAGCCTGGTTGACTTTGACCAGGCACATCGTTACCGGACACATATGCTGTTCAAAGACTGTGTTGCAGACATGCAATTATCATTATTACTAGCCTGATGGAAAAAAAAAGGACAGTAGTACCCGTCATGAAACTCCCCAACGCCTGATACAGACAAGGAAAACCGAGCCCATTTAGGTTATTTCATATAATGACTGATGCTTCCTTTGCCCGTCCCAGACTCGCTTGTAAATGTCATTCCCCGGTCAAGACTTTTCATTTGTTTTATTTCTGTTGCAGTAAGCATCTCCGCCTAGGTCACGGTGTATCCGCCATCGACGCGAATGTCGGCACCAGTGACGTAACTACTGGCATCGGAGAGCAGGAAGGACACAGGACCCATGAGGTCTTGAGGTTGACCCATCTTGCCTTGGGGGATAAGTGAGGTCCACTTCTGCTTGAGATCGGGGTTCTCGTCGAGAATCTTTTCAGTGCTGTAAGGGCGGAATGTCAGTATTTCGGCAACTGAGCTTGCTCGTTTGTGCTTCATCACTCACAGTGCAGTCAGCATGTATCCAGGGGAGATACAGTTGACGCGGATTCCAGCATGAGCCCATTCGACGGCTAGAGAAGCTGCCAGATGGCGCACACCAGCTTTGGCAGCGTTGTAGGGACTAATAGCAGCGTACCGTCAGCAATTGGCCTCTTCTCCAGCACATGTACTCCATAAAAGATCGAAATCCACACCCCCTGCACCCCGCTCGCGATCGGCATCATGTCGACCAGGGGATTCGGAATAATGTGAGTAACACAGGATCGCCAAGGAATCACTTACGCCTGAGGCTGGGGAACGTTGACAATGGCACCAGACATGCTACCAATCATGACCATGCTACCCGGCGCTTTGCGCGCCATGAGATGACGGGCAACAGAAGTGGCAAAAAGGTATGTTCCGTCGACATTGACGGCCCATAGCTTACGCATACGGTCGATGGGGTAGTTCACGGCTTCGAAATTTTCAGTAAAGCCGGCTGATGTGACGAGGTGGTCAATTTTGCCGTGCTGCTCGATAACCTCAGCAATGCAACTTTCGACGGATTCAGGGTCGGAGACGTCGGCAAAGTGGGCGGTGACGGTGGGGATTCTTGAAAGAACAACAGTTAGAACAAACATATTCTCATGTTCTTTGAATACGTGTATAAGGAATCGGAGATCTTACCGCTGAGCGTTGGGGTTCTCACGGTGGAAGGCATCCATGAGCAATTGGGTCTGCTTCTGAGCTTCTTCCTCTATAAATCAGGTTAGTTGAGCAACCTGAACAAGGCAACAGTCTATAGGGAAGAATGTGGCCTACTGTTCATGTCAACAAGGGCAACATCAGCACCGGAAAAAACCATGCCCTGAGCCATAACCAAGCCCAAACCACGAGCACCTCCAGTGACAACACCAACACGGCCATCAAGAGAGAAGCTGGGGAGAGTAGGCTTCACGAACTGTCCACCAGTACCCAGGACTGGCTTGCTGGAAGGCAGTTCATGCTCTTCGGGATGCTCGACTTCAATGTCAGAATCGGTGCGAGAGTAACTGCCAGGCTTGTTGCTTCGAGGTGGGATGTTGTGCAGATTGCGAGCGGCGGCGAACGACGGCCGCAAGGTGGCAGGGACAACACTTCGCGTAGCGTGCCGCAGCATGGGAGCGAAGATGGTCTGCCTGGAAGCCATTGCTGTGATGATGCGTGAGTTGATGTGAAGAGAAATCCGAGAAAAGAGTATTTGGAGGAAAAAAGTGTTTCCTATTTCTCACAACGTGAGAAACCAATTTTTGGTGCCGTGTACGTGGATCGAAGACTTGTCCGAAAGCGGTGGCGTCGAGGCTCATGTAAGACCTTTCTACACAACTTGATTTCGCTGCAATTGATGGTCCAGCGAGAGCAAGAGAGTGATAAGGATGGAGACAAAGGTGAGCAGAGAAGAGCAGAGCAGCGCAGCGAGCGGGCGATTGAGTTTGTGGTTTATATTTCATCCACCTCTGCCCTAGGTGGCGAGAATTGATGGTCGTTCAATGTTGATGCGCACCCCTCAAGCTCCAGTAGCGGGCACCCCCCTCCCCTTTGCACTAGGGCCGGCAGCGGGGACAACGGGGCAGGGGGGGAGGCTGTGGGCACTAAATTGGGAACATTGAATCAAGCTCCATGTCGCCGCTGGACTTGGAGACGATGTCCCAGCACCACTTGAGAAAGCCAAGGTCCAAGCCAGGAGATCCCACCAGAGGCTACATGTGTGAATGGCCGATCTGTCTGTTGATGATGCCCATCGCTTCTATCGCTGCCCAATGGACAAGCCAGGAATGTCACTGCACGGTAAAAACCCTCAGCCGATGGTCAGGGCAGCGGCGACCGCGGACATCATGCAGAGGCAGTGGCAAGCAAACCAGCAAAGAGGCTCGCAGGACTCTGCGGAGCATTGAAGATGGTCGATGCATCCTGGAGACTCCGGAACACGGGTCGACCTGCATCTACAGGGGCCGCCTTGTACCGATTGCTCGCTGCAGCGCTCGTGTAGTACTAGTCGAGCTCCAAAGTGCTCCAACATTGAAGTTCTAGAGCTCTTGCACAGCCCTGCCGGACCGTCTGGAGCAAGCCCCGGAAGCCATTTTTCTGGGGCTAGACACTTGACCCATGTCTGTCTTGGAGAGCCAAGTGGTGTGAAACCTGCAAGAAAGCTGCACACGGCAGAAAGAAGCGCGCTCCAAGGTTCCATTGATGCAGGTAATGTCCAAGTTCGCAGGGACAGACAAACAAAGACAGAAACAACCGGCAACACCTGCACAGCCAAGGATGGAGGCAAAGCTCACGGCCAATTCTGGCCGCGAAATACGATACGAAGTGAGCATTGAACTTCAAGGTTTGGAAATGACTTCGACGGCAAGTGGCGGCGGGGTAAGACTACTCCGTATACATAAGTAGACAAATAGTGAGAAGGCTCTAAGGCAGCAGGACCGACCACAGAGCAGGGCAAACATGTCTGCGACGGTTTCGCATGTCCTTCATCTGTTTCTTTTCTATTCAGTATTATTTTCTTATATATCAGGAAATATTGCGAAAGAAAGAAAGCAACGCTCCTGATTCCTTTTTCAAACTCCAATCGTGCTTCGCTACTCGCTGCTTTGTATCTCTTGGGGAACCCGTACAAAAAATGGAACGACACCAGCAGCCTGTCTTGCATGTGCGGGCAAGAAGCTACTCTCGCACCTGGTTGCTTTTTCCTTGCTAGCTCAGCCAAGCAAAGGCTCGAAAATTCCAAGCACAACCCAAAACAATCATCTACTAATAAATGCCGTTACTATGTTTTGGCAAGGAAGAGGACGGGGGAGCAACCGAGCACAGAAGACAAGGGCTGGTGGTCACGCGGAACACCACAATTTTCATCGTACATTGTCGTATTACCGAGTGCTGAGTACTTGCTCAACAATCTCTGTCAGCATACCACTTTGGATACGCCTACCCTCTGCCCATCAAACGAGATAACACTCCGTTGATCAGGGCATTGCGAGGACTCTCCTTCCGTCTCAATCCCAGGTCCCCCGCTCGCCAGTTGATCTGTATATCATGCACACGGGCTTTTTGACAGGACAGTAGGGCATCGCGGAGTGGGCGTGAAGAGCGACAGGTGTGTCCGTTTGCGAACAGGACACCCTCACAAAACCTTACTGATGGAGACAAGGTACTCCGTACTCTGTACTAAGCTCTAGATTCAATGTTCGGACCGAACTCCCCGAATCTCACAATGCTGCTGGCACACCGCGGAGCCGGTCCGCACGCCCAAGAGCGAACTACTGACTCTTGGCTCGACCAGGTACTGTAGATTTGGAGTAAATCGACACTTTTGTTCGCCATATCAATTTGTTGATGAGTCCAATTGGAACGAAATCGTCCTGATTTCATCAGTCTGCCGGCCAAATTTCACTCCCTTTTCTTGGTTGCTACCACGGAGTACAGAAGACGAACTGAATCATGAATTTTAGCCTAATATTTAAAATTGGTGCCTGGAGCAAACCCCCGCAAGCGGACCCAGCACACCCGGCAACAGTGCCCTTGTCACCGCCAGCTAGAAACCACCTGTCCTTGAACTATCGTGACTTGCGTTTGTTGGTGTATTTCCTCTTTTCACACTCCTGTCGACCTAGCGATTGCACCATATTCCATCCCCTTTCCACGGGTTCCACACACATGTCTCGTGAGAAATATGGAACGGAAAATTTTCTCCATCTGCTTTGCACTGGATTATTGGCTGCATGAATTTGTTTTTTCTTCCCCCTTTACCAATGCTGTTTTGATACGTTGCGGCACTATTTACATGGGACATTGTATGTACAATTTGCGACCGCCTCGCTGCAGCACAGTGGATGATGCATGATCATCGTGATCCTGGCCGCTTTCTATCTGCCCACGGATCTAATGCATGGAACTCAAAATAGAGTACACGGAGCCATCTGCCCGTCCCTGGCAACAGCAACGTAGTGCCCTATCCAGGCGGTATTCAGCTGTCGTGATGCGCGTTTCCAACATATCCAAGCGACTGTCATAGTAACAGTCAACCTCTTGTCCAATCCAATGCAAGCTTCTGCGATACATTTACGCATTGGCATACTCCTTGTTGAAAGCACGTCCAATGACCATCCGTCTAATTTCAGAAGTTCCAGCACCAATCTCGTACAATTTCGCACTATCAATCAAAATGCGTTAGTCACAAGTAATTCAACCTCGCACCCCCATTTTCAGAGGTTTACAAGTCTTGTCAAGTGTGGCAACAAGCCACTAGATGGGAAAACAAAAAAAGGTCAAGCTTACTCTCTCAGCAATCTCGAGGCAGGCATCTCCTCAACATAGCCCATACCACCCAGCAACTGGATGCAGTCAAGTGCGCACTCGGTCGCACGCTCAGCCGCGTACAAAATGGCGCCAGCACAGTCCTGGGTGCGGATAACGCCCTGCTCATCAACCTGCCTGGCCGTGGCGTAAGTATAGGCCCGCGACGCCTGCAGCTTGGTGTACATGTCGGCGAGCTTGCCCTGGACCAGCTGGTTGTGAGCAATCGGGGAACCAAACTGCTTGCGCTGGTGGGAGAAGGGCAGGGCAACGTCGAGCGCGGCCTGCATGATGCCCAGGGGCCCGGCCGAGAGGACCAGGCGCTCCAGGTCGAGGCCCTCCATGAGGACGCGCACGCCGCCGTTGACGCTGCCCACGACGTTGTCCTCGGGGACGAAGACGTTGTCGAACATGAGCTCGCCCGTGTTGCTGCCGCGCATGCCCATCTTGTCCAGCTTCCGGGCGCAGCTGAACCCGTCCGCCTTGGTCTCGACCAGGAAGGCCGTGATGCCCTTGGACCCCTTGTCGGGCTCCGTTTTGGCGTAGACGACGATCAAGTCGGCGTCGGGCCCGTTGGTTATCCACATCTTGGAGCCGTTGAGGAGATAGCCGCCGTCGACCTTCTTGGCCGACGTGCGCATGCTCACGACGTCGCTGCCGGAGCCGGACTCGGACATGGCCAGCGCGCCAATCTTGGTGCCGGCAATCAGGCCGGGGAGGTACTTCTTCTTCTGCTCCGGGCTGCCGTTGAGCTGCAGCTGGTTCACGCAGAGCTGCGAATGCGCCGCGTAGCTCAGCCCAATGGACCCTGACGCGCGGGACATTTCCTCCATGACGACGGCGTGAGCCTGGTAGCCCATGCCCAGCCCGCCAACGTCCTCGTCGGCCGTGATGCCCAGGAACCCGGCCTCGCCGAGCTTCGGCCACATCTCGTTGGGGAAAGCATTGCTCTTGTCTGTGTGCGCGGCGACCTCTTCCGTGATTTCGCGGCGCGTGAACTCGTGCACACGCTCGCGCAGCTCGTCTAGCTCCTCGGTCGTGGGCGCCTCAAAGCCCTTGGGGTGCTTGGACGAGTGTAGTCTTTTCTGGACGCCAGGAAGAGCGATTGATGCGGGCGAGGGCTGTAGTCGCCGGGTGGCGGGTCGCGAGACTGCTCTGGTGAGCGATCTAAAGCTCGCTGCCATGTTATATGTGATTTTGTAAAGGCGTTGAAATGAAAGGGTGGAGGAGAAAAGTCGAGTGTCCCAGGTCAATTCCCAGGCAAGCAGCAGACAGGAAAAAAAGTGAGGCACTGGCTCGAGTCCAGAAAAGAAGTCCAAGTTTAAAGTAAAGCCGAGGATCTGGATGGATGCGGCCATCCAAGGCTCACAGCCAAAGATCTGCGGCTTACTTCGGCTTGCTGCGGGCCGCCAACCCCAGATTTTGGCTCCTTCTGCCCACGACGTCAGTTTGTCGGCTTTGCGGACAAGCTTGCTCTCGAATGCTACGCCTTGTCTCGGCCTTTCATATCCCTTCTTCTTTTCCTCCTTCGTCGTCTTCTTTTCTCCCCCTTCTTCCCAGAAGCCTGCCTTCTTGCCCAGCGCCAACAAGAGTTGCTCAATTACACCTGCAGAGACGCCAATTCCACAATGTCTCTCTGCCGGTCATCACAACAGGCCCTGCGGCTGGCCCGCCTCCGCGCCCATCATCCCAAACAGCATCACATCCAGTCCCGCGCCATCGCGAACCTCACGCCCCCTCACCAAGCAGCCGCCATATCGCGCCTCCAAACCAATGTCGACCCCTCGTCGGAGGAGTACAAGGAAAATGAGAAGCACATGTCTGAAGTCACGGCCAGAATGGCCGAGCTCACGCGCAAGATCCAGCGCGGGGGTCCTGAAAAGGCCCGCGAAAAGCACATTGCTCGCAAGAAGATGCTGCCGAGGGACCGCATCACGTCGCTGATTGACCCCGGGACGACGTTTTTGGAACTGTCCCCCATGGCCGGCTACGAGCTGTACCCCGAGGCCGAGGTTCCCGCCGGCGGCATCATTACCGGCGTCGGCGTCGTCGAGGGCGTCACCTGCGTCATTGTTGCAAACGACAGCACAGTCAAGGGCGGCACTTACTATCCCATTACCGTCAAAAAGCATCTCCGTGCCCAGGCTGTTGCGCAGGAGAACAAGCTGCCGTAAGTGATCGAGGCCGTGGCCCAATCTGCTCTCTCCATCTTCTCAAACGTACCCGCAGCTAAACGTGTGAATAGCTGCATCTACCTGGTCGACTCTGGCGGTGCCAACCTCCCGCACCAGTCCGACGTCTTCCCCGACCGCGAGCACTTTGGCCGCATCTTCTACAACCAAGCACGCATGTCGTCGCAGGGAATCCCCCAGATTGCCGTCGTCATGGGCCCTTGCACCGCGGGAGGCGCCTACGTCCCCGCTATGTCCGACGAGTCCATCATTGTCGGCGAACAGGGCCACATCTTCCTTGCCGGCCCTCCCCTCGTCAAAGCCGCCACCGGCGAGGTCGTGAGCGCCGAGGAACTCGGCGGCGGCAAGATGCACTCCTCGGTGTCCGGCGTGACCGACTACCTGGCCGTCGACGACGCCCACGCCATCACCCTCGCCCGACGATCCATCAGCAACCTCAACTGGCCTGCCAGATCCGCCACCACGCAACCTCCTGCCACCACCTTCTCAGAGCCCCTCTACGACCCAGAGGAGCTCATGGGCATCGCAACCACCAATCTCCGCAAGCCCATCCCCATCCGTGAGGTCATTGCCCGTGTCGTCGACGGCTCCGAATTCTCCGAGTTCAAGCGCGACTTTGGCACCACCCTCGTCACCGGCTTCGCCTCCATCTACGGCCACAAGGTCGGCATTGTCGCCAACGACGGCATCCTCTTCGCCTCGTCCGCCGTCAAGGGCGCCCACTTCATCGAGCTCTGCGCCCAGCGCGGCATCCCCCTCGTCTTTCTGCAAAACATATCCGGCTTCATGGTCGGCACCGCCTCGGAGCGAGACGGAATCGCCAAGCACGGCGCCAAGCTCGTCACGGCCGTCGCCTGCGCCGACGTGCCCAAGTTCACCGTCGTCGTCGGCGGCTCCTACGGCGCCGGCAACTACGGCATGTGCGGGCGCGCCTACAGTCCCCGGTTCCTCTGGATGTGGCCCAACGCCCGCGTCGGTGTCATGGGCAGCGAGCAGCTCGCCGCCGTCATGGAGACTGTTGGCCAAAAGGCCGACCCTGAGCTCAGGGCTCGCATCGATCGCGAGACCGAGGCCACGTTCTCCTCTGCCAGACTCTGGGTAAGTGGCCCATAAACCGAACCGGCCTCTTGTCTAACCCCAAGCCTCTGTCCTTTTTTTTTTTTTGGCTAGTGGCTAACATACTCAATCAACTACAGGACGATGGCATCATCCCCCCTCAACATACTCGACGCTACCTCGGCCTAGGCCTGCAGGCTGCCATGGGTGGGCGTAACGAGGTCAAGGCTGGAGATACCAAATTCGGTGTCTTCAGAATGTAAACAAGAGAAGCAACCACAAAAACTAGAGTATGAATTTGATGACGCCGCAGAACCTTGTCAGTGAGCAGTGGTTCCCATGTATTAGAGCATATTGTATATATTTTACCATAAATGTTCTTTACAAGTAAAGTAATTGTCGATGAATCACAAAGTAGGCTAAAACAAGTAGAAACCACTATCAAATTTCACTTCTACCAATGCCGGGACGCGACACGATATTACATCATTAACCCATTGATTTCTTGATATTCCTCCTCAATGTCGGTGGTATTAGCATTTCTTCATCTATCAAAACGCCATCGCTGAAGTCCATTTTATATCGTACAATCCGGAGAATATGGAATCAATCAACGGAGCTGAAGAGTCTCGACAAGGTTTATGCGAGACCTCTCCCCTCCTTCTATGCGACTCCTTCACCAATCCCGTTCCAATCGTTGAGACATGGCGGCATCGGCATCACGCTAAACGTTTCTGTGCCCAACTGGTCCGTTCCCAACGTTGACAGATAGTGAGACCAGGTTGATGCTATTTCCACCCCCAAGATCAACATTGGACGCCTCCTGCTCCGTGACTTGACTCCCTACTTGTGTTTGGCCCCTTATGGCCTTGCTAAATAGTCGTTGTAGTGTAGATTGGGCAGACACTGCACTTTCCACGCTCTTCTGTTGTAGTATGTAGAGCATTGCAATCCGTGAGAAATCAAGCACTCCCTCTGTAACTGGAAAATTTGAAGGAGCTCTGCTAGTGGTGCTGGCAGTTGACCTGGAAGTAGACTGTGAGCTTGATGAGAACATGGATGTCAGGGTCGACCCGGCTGGGGTAGTTGGTGGTATTGTTGTTTCCGTATTTCCTGGGGGAGCTGAACTTGGCACTGATGTCGTAGGCTTCTGGCCAGTAACAGGAGGAGTCACAGTAATTGTTGTCGTCGTGGTTGGTGGCACGAGAGTAATAATTGATATCTCCGGAAACTCTTCAGCATTCAGGGCACGATTCGCCTGATTTTGCCGCATGTCTTGCACCTCATCTGTAGCTTGACCGGATCTGGTAGAACGACCGTCAAAAGTGACAATTGAGTTTTGAGCAATGCATGATAAGTTTCCAGAGTTAAACCTGGCCAGAATTGAGGTGCCCGACAGTGGCACAGAAAAATTCTTGTTGGCATCAGCTAGCAGCCGTGGAATAGCTCTGCCCATTGTTACGTTGTTAATGCTTGACTGTCCGTCAGTGGAAACCAGATTTGTCATTGTACACCCTGCATTACCACCATCGCCACAGGTGGAACCTGTAAAGCCGTTGGTACAGATACATGAACAATTGCCTTGGGAAATTACGCTGGTACCACCATTCAGGCAAGGTAGTCTCTGCTGGCATTGACCGAGAGTGAGGTCCTGATCTTTGTGGCCGAGGTTCTTGAAAACAAAAAATTCGAGCGGGACGACTATGGCTGCCACAATGAGGATAAGAAGTAAGAAGACCAAAAGGATGACTAGCCACAAGGGTAGACCGCAGCATCGTCGTTTAGGCTTTGGTTCAATTTGACCGCTCGGGGATCGTGAATGAGTACGTCGATCTTGTCCAGAGACTGCTGGCCACGTGCCACTCCTTATCCACGAGCTGCGGCTGGTATTGTTTCGAGGTGTATGAACAGGTGGTGGAAAGGCTGCCAGCATGTCTGACAATCCAGATCGGTGAGGGTCTTCTAATACCAAAGTTAGAATCTGACAATCATCCCGCCCGTCCAGAATGACTGGATGAAAACTAGGACAAAGTGCTTATTTTCTCAGTGGTATAGCTACCTTTTTCAGTGAGATACCCTTCCATAGCATCAAGTCTGCTTGCCGGCCGTTTGCCCTTGTCAATCATAGCTGCAAGCCTGGTTGCGCGCCGAATCAAATCCGGCAAGCTTGTGAGGCTCCCCCTAGCCTCTGCCGCTCGAACTGCGTCGATGTCGAGCCTGGGCGGACGCTTCATAGCCGAAAGGCGAGATTGCCGTCGAGGGACATCTCCAAGTTGCACAGACTCTCTAGAATCCGATGAATTTGCAGTGCTATAGGGCTGCGGAATAGCATCTGCGGCTAGACTTTCCCTACTCGAAGCATTGATAAACGATGCTCGTGGTTTTTTAATGGTAGGAACAGTTTCGGATGAACTTGTTGCCGGACTCATATAGTCTTCATTCTCCAGTACTGTCCTCGCTGGTGCTGGGTCTTTTCCGGTATTTGTCCCAGAACTGCTAGCCCCTTTTGTTGTAATCAATGCCGGTTTACCCTTCTTACCCAAGCTTGCACTCCGTACCAATTGACTCTCATCTCCAAACTCATCATACCCAGATTCTCTGTCCTTTTCTGTTATTGATTCTTCGTAGAATGCGTCGCCATAGGCAGGGCTGCCTATTTCAGGTGATCCAGCGGGCCACGTTTCAGGCATAGCCGCGCTTGACGCATATGATCCATGAGATCTTGACCGCGGGCTTTCTTCGGGTATGGGAGAAACGTATGATGCACTCGAATAAAAAGACGATGCCCCTCTTCGGCTTGAAGGTGGAGGTCCCAAGTTTGCACTCTTCCTGGGCACCGCTGCGGGAATCGGTACCGGAAAGTCGGGTATTGATCCCACAGACGATATTGTCTGCCGAGTAGAGCTTTCTGATGGGGCCGATGGGGAGGAAACATTATAATTGTCGTTCTTTTCTTGAGACGTGTCTGGTAGGCCCGATCGAGAGGTGAAGACAGGGGTAGGTTGTTGTGGTTTTGACTGGTCAAGTATCGAGGGAATTCTGCTCGGACTGGGTCTCGGAGGTCTTTGAGGTATCTGTTGTGGTTTTGAAGAAGACCGATATGAGTTTGGGTCGACAAAAGTCGGCGGCGAGGTACTGGAATTGGTGAGAGGCCACTGTGGCACCTGGGTTGGTCTTGATATTCCCGGGCCATACTTTTGGTCCTGGCCAGGAGGCGATCTATTCTTCGCGAACCTAGACTGAGAGTACCCTGGCGGCGGCGGTCGCAATGGTGCCGAGGGCTCAACAAGGTTTGGGTTCTGTTGCGCATATCGCTGTCCCTCCCCATCCCTCGCTAGCATGCCTTGGATTTGTTCCCGGGCCCTTCTAACAGACCCTGGTGTATTGTATGGCCGGTCCATATCCCTTCCATTGTAGGGTTGACTCATTTGACTATTTTCAGCAGCCGCGAACCATTTATCGCAGGATCAGTTGGAACGTTCTGGGTGATTTATTTGCAATGGTTTTCCCAAACAAGTCAAAGACTGGTGATAAATGGAGAGATATCTCGTCTCTGTATGATCAAATTTGCCAAAGATATCCCAAATGTTCCGTTATGTTGCTGCCGGACTGTTGAATCGGGGATTGGTTGATAAATACGTAAGTCGTTGTGTTGCATCAAAATCGGGACGGCTGTGTCCTGTAAGTGAAGAGACGTGAATGAAAGCTGTCGTAATTCACATATGTCGCATGTCATATCAAAACGAGTGGTAGATATAACTGAAGATGAATATGCGACCATTCAAGTTAACGAAAGTTTAGAAGAAAAAGAGTGAAACGAGTGCTGGGTGTCCAATTAGGAACACTACTCAGCTCTCTAACTGAAATAGAAAAAAGACAAGGAGCGCCCCAATAGTCGAGTAAACAACCTATCAAACTGGCATTAGCGGTTTCGTTTGGACACTTGGGATGAAAGACTTGGAGGGCATTGAGGCCAGGTTGCTGTCCAACGAGTGCCATTTGTGAGGCTTTTGCATAAAGTCATTGATCAAGCCCAGAAGCCTCACAGGGCGATGCTCGGGGTGAATGGGGTCATGGGTTACATACGAGAGACGCGGACAGTCTCAGATTCCACCACCTAGTGGCAAGAGAACAGTTCCTGAGACAGCATGCCCCAAATCGGAACTTATGCCAAATGAAGACTCGCAGAGCCTCAGAAATAAGCGGGATGAGAGGCGACTAAACAGACGCAAAATAAAAACAGAAGAGAAGGCTCTGGGGAGCCACGGAAGCCAACCAAGAAGAAAGAGAAGGCCCAGAGTTTTTCTGGTAGGAATTCGTCGACGTTAAAACCTTCGTCGCAATGCCGGAGGTTCTCGTGGAAGTTTTGGCTCCGTGTCGCAAATCAGGGCTGGGGGTCTTGTTTCAGATTTTGTGCCGAGCAAGAGAATAACGAACTAGTCAGAACAAGAGTGAGTTTGTAAGTCAAAGCCCCAGCAGCATGAATCGATACAACAGTGAAAAAAGTAAGAAGCTGAAGGAAAAGTCAATAGACAGTGAGCCCGGGGATTTGGGCGTGCTTCGGCAGTGTGTCTACTGGCTGCCATCAAGACCGCAGCAATCTTGATGCTGCACGTAGCAATCTCTGGGACATTACCGGCGCAGGAGCAAACAATTCTTACCTGGTAAACTGATGAAGGTGGCGCTGAATGCTTCAACCGTGTCTGTGCGACGGCGTCTGTCCGTCCTGGACTCACGAAAATGTACAAAAGATTGGAGGCGAAGAGAAAGAAAAGTGAATGAATGAAAGCAGCTATCCACAGGATGCTGGAGGGGGGGAGAAGCGCAACTGAGGCAGTTGCGACAAAGCTGACCTGCAAAAGGGGAAGTCGCGACGCAAAATGCACAAGACGAAGACGAGTGGCTCGGAGGGGGGATAAAAGACGCCAAAAGAAAGCATGGCGGCCAAACACTATGAATACGCCTCAGAATCACTCCGTATTGCATGTATGTCGTCCCATGCCTTGACGATAGATGCAACACACTGCTGGTCCCTGCAAGTGCAAGGTGAGCGTGTTCTGTAAGCCAGTGCCACCCCGACGGTCGCAAAAACGGGCAGGGGGTCGAGGCTGGCGTGTTGACGTCGAACCAGGTGCGAGGTCCCTCCACGACCAAGGTGCTGCATCACGTCAAAGAATCGGCTGCTTATGGAGATTCCAGGCCACTGAAATTTGCACCCGCGCTACTACTACTTTGTACGGACATTGTATGGCGCTCGGGGCCG